TCCCCTGTTGGCAGTTACCTGGTTAGGATCATATCGCTCTTCTCAAGCCCTGCTGCCTCTCACAGGCCCCGCGTGTGTAAAGGAGTGGGAGAGGGAAGGAGGGGAGGGGGGACCCTGGGACCCTGGGGATGACATGCGTTCTGAGGAGCAAGAGCAGTGGGGAGTGGGGCTGCTGACCAGCCTGCCCTGGGTGGGGAGCCCTGTCTGGGTCTCTGTCGCAGGAGCAGGCAGGGGCTTCTTGCTTTTCTCTCCGGATTGCCGGCTGCGGAGCAGGTGCAGCTCCATCTGTGCCCTTGGCCTCCTCGGAAAGAGGCCAAGCTACCGGGGGAGGCTTTGGCTGTGACTGTGCCCCGGCATTCACTGCTCCGAGGTGGGGAGCGGGGAGCCCCCTCCACCTCCAGGCTCTGAAGCCCTGGGCTGGGGAGCAAACCTGGGGCCTCCACCCTGCCTCTGAGGTTAGGGCCCTCACAGAGGAGAAGCCCTCGGTGCTGGGGGTTTCTGCCTCCTGGTACGAGTGTAGGAGTCGGGGTGGGGGCGGGAGTGGGGAGTGAAGCGGCTGAACCACCCAGAAAGAGGCAGCCCTTGTTCCCCTGGGTAACGTCAAGCAGGAGACGCCCTCTGATATCCTCCACCCCCCACCCCACTGCTTTTCCGTCTTTCCTCTGCCCTGCTCTGGGCCATCTATCTTCCACCCAACAACCTCCCCCCCGCCCCCAATCCGCGTTGGAGGGGAAGCTGGGTTCCATCAGGAGTGAGACCCAAGTGCAGGGGCCGCTGGGGAGGGGTGTGGTGCCCAGGCTGGGTAGGAGCTCCTGGTAAGGGGCCCCACCTGGGCCAGGGCAGTCTTTCTCTCCACCAGCCTCTTTCCTCCTTGTCCAGGGGCAGGGGTTTGGGTTCCACAAGCCAGAAGTTCCTGTTGGGTGCTGGCCCACCCCAGGTCACAAAGTTCGCTTTCCTTCTAAGCTCCCCTCCCCTGCCTCCAGTGCCCTGACCCACACTCTTGGCCGCCCCCTCCTTTCTCAGCTCTGCAGCCGCCCTCAGATGTTCCAGGCCTCCAGGCTGTCCTCCCCAGGGCTCAACCCTCCCTCCCTCGGCTGACCCTCCCCCTCCTGCGGTAGGGACTCGCCTGGGAGGGAGGAACCTGCGGGCGGGGTGCCCAGAGGCGGGCCTGTGGGCGGGGCGCTTGCCTGGGCGGGCCGATGGCTTCAGATCACCCTCCCGCCAGGGGCGGTGGCAGCTATATTCCCTCCTCAGTTCACTGCGTGAGGCCGTGATGTGGAGCCTTGGAGTTGCAGGCGCTCGGCCAGGGCGGAGCTAGGGCTGTGATGCCCCTGCATTCCCAGAGCCTGAGGAAGGTCAGGCAGCTCCCATCCCCGCTCTGCTGGGTGACCCCTCCTGGGCAGTGCCTCTGGGGCAGGGCTGATCCCACCCGTCCGCCAGGGCCCGAGTCTGCTCAGTGCACACAGTCGGTGCAGAGGGAGCCTGCCCACTCATCTGAGAGGTGCTTGTGCCCTGGTGGGAGGCAGGTCAGGGGGTGCAGAGTCTGGAGAGGCCCAGAGGGCAGCCCGCTGTGCCCTGGTGGAAGGCAGGGGCCAACCCTGGGGGCTCACCTCTCTGTTTTGGGATTTTCAACTTTTTTATGATAAAGGGGTGTGTGGGGGGGGGCACTGACTGCCCTCAGCTGCAGATGAAGCTGCTATAACTTTAGAATAATAATGTGATTATTTACTCTAGAATAAGAATTATTAGCATGTACACTAGTAGTATGCAGGTTTATATGAAATTAAACAGAAACATCACACACACACACACACACACACACACACACACACAGTCCTATGAAGCAGGGGCTGCTCAGTGCAGGTAAGGACACTGCAGCTTAGCAGGTGCTTGAGATGGCCCAGAATGTGCATGCCCTGAAGACAGAACCTGTGAAAACGTCATCTGCCATGGGAGAGAGAGAGCGCGAGAGCGAGAGCGAGAGCGAGAGCGAGAGCGAGAGCGAGAGAGAGAGAGAGAAAGAGAGAGAGAGAGAAACACTGAATGAGGGAGACACATTGCCCTGACCTGGGATCAAACCTGCTCCCAGAGGTGGGAGATGACCCTGGATTGTCTGGGCAGGTCTCATGCAATCACAGGAGCTCTGAAAAGAAGAGAGCGATTGGCCGGAGGCAGAGAAATTTGGCCAGAGGGTGGCATCAGAGAGCTTCAAGGTGCGCCAGGGACCAACAGGTGGGTGTTGGTTCGGAGATGCAGGGGCCACGGGCAGGGCCCTGGAGGCTAAGGAGGCCCAGCCAACAGCCAGCGGAAACAGAACCTCGGTCCTACAACAGCAGGACCTGGATTCTGCCACGGACCGAAGGAGTCTGCAGCGGACCCCACCTCCACCCCTCCCACCTCCACCCCT